TGTGTGTGTGTGTGTGTGTGTGTGTGTGTGTGTGTGTGTGTGTGTGTGTGTGTATGTGAACAATCTCACTTCATTTTAGAAAAGAAAAACAAAACAAAAACATAAAACCCCAAACTCCCAAATTTGGTTCAATTCTCTTTTGTTCTGAGGTGAGCCATAACAGCTGCACTGAATTCATAAAACATGTGCAACTCTGGGTAAAATATTTTTCTTCTAAAAGCACAACCACTTTACAAGATTAAAAGTCTAGTAACATTTCTAAATATTATTCATATCATACAAGTAGTGGTTGTTAATTTAAAACTTCATTAGTAAAATTACAGTACAAGCATGATTAACCTCCAGAATTGCAAATCCCAGACTCCAGTGGAAAGCTACATTACATCTTCAGTAGTACATTATCTTCCACCATCACTCCCACACCAGAGGAGATGGGGGCATCTCAGATGGCTGAGCAACAGTGGAACTGGAAGAAAACAGTGATGGAGAAATTAGTTGTAATGCCACAATGGCAAAAGGGTAATTCACGACTGCCTGTTTTCCTCTCTTCCTCTGAAAAAATTAAGTCCACTTCTGGATTTTTACTTGTTTCTTTAAAGTTGAATTTGTTCTAAGTTGTCTGTTTAAGGATCTATTATCTACGGAGAGGCAATCTGGTGTAGTGGGTAATATATAGGCTGAAATTAACATGTCATTTACTAGTTGTATGGCACTGAGCAAGTGCCTTAATCTCTTCTCATCTGGAAAGGAACAATGCTGTTTACCTCAAAGGATATTGTGATGAATAAATAATAACAGATGTGAAGTGTTTTCCACAGTGCCTACTTCATAGTGTAAAGTAAATGGTAGGTAATACAAGTGACAATTTCAATAATCAGGAAAACAACCTTAAGGGATGTAGAATCATCCATTTAAAAGTAACCTCTCAAAATACAGTGGCCTATTTGAATGAGCCTTAGAAGCATTCTTTTTTTTTTTTTTTTTTTTTTGTTTTGAGACGGAGTTTCACTCATGCTACCCAGGCTGGAGTGCAATGGCACGATCTCGGCTCACCGCAACCTCCGCCTCCTGGGTTCAGGCAATTCTTCTGCCTCAGCCTCCTAAGTAGCTGGGATTACAGGCACGCGCCACCATGCCCAGCTAATGTTTTGTATTTTAAGTAGAGACGGGGTTTCACCATGTTAACCAGGATGGTCTTGATCTCTTGACCTTGTGATCCACCCGCCTCGGCCTCCCAAAGTGCTGGGATTACAGGCTTGAGCCACCGCGCCCGGCAGACTAGAAGCATTCTTTTATCAAGTATTAATTAAGAAATATAGGTAATCATTTAGCATTGGTTATCTACAGATGTTACTGGCTTTTTCCTATGTCTGACTAAGGTTGCTAATTAGATTATAAACTTGAGAGGGAAAAGTGTAACCATTTTGTTTCTCCAAGGCCCAGGATCATTTATACCTAAGCTGCTAAACTACCTAATTGACAGGGTCAATAACTCTTAGGGGAAAATAGTAAAACAAAGTAATTTAAAACCACAGATAAATAAAAATGCAACTTGATTCCTTCTTCCAATAGAAAAATACATAGAAAAAAGGAAAGTCAGGTCTTATAATTTTACAAATTTTACACATAAAATCTTGACTGTGGTCCAACAAATTCAAACAACTTCAATATGATTCAAGGGAAAGAGCAGAAGAAGAGAGAAAAAGGAGAAGAGAAAGGCAGTGGGGAAGATAGAGACTGTGTGGCCACTCAGATCCGAATCTACGCTTCTTTGTCTTGCTTTGTGATGGTGGAGCCAGACCCTGTTCATGATTCCCTTTGCCACTGAGCTAAACGTTAGTGTTTGTCAACAAGAGGGTGCCGGAAGGGCACTGCAAAGCTGTGGCATCGGGAAGCAGGCTCTCTTCCCTGGTTTGTTGTGTTTTTTTTCGTCATGTGGAAGGCTCAGCTTTGGTCCACTAAAACTCTCCTGGCAGGCGTCTTCGATGGACCAGTTCTGCCCACACCTTCTGGCACACTTCCTCTTCTGCACTCTACCCTCATGCTGTGTTCCTGTTCCTGTGGCAGCCATACCCTCTCCAAAGAGGTCCTTACATAGAGGAACTGCTTCTAAATTCTTAATTTCTTTGTTTACTTTCCCTCTGTCAAAAAAAATTGCCAAAGCAACCTCAGTCTACAGGGAGTAGCTGCTTTCTGCATTTGCTACTTCAGCAGCCTTCAGAATCCTTTTATGCCTTTTAGCAGTTGATCATCTTTCCCAGTTAACAATTGTTGTTACTAAATTATCCCCATTCATATTATGGGGAAGTGGTTTATTTCTCCTGACCGGACCCTGATTGATATATAAGGACTTAAACAAAAAGAGATCAAGAGAAGGAAAGGACAGAGACACAAGGAGAATGAAACCTGGTAAGTTCCAAAGTAGGTTCACAGCTCTACCATAAGCCTGTTGGCTTGCCCTCTACACAGGATACACCAGCAGTCCACCAGCACACAAAAAAATTATTTTCTCACTTGCAGTTATTACTAGGGAGTGGGAATGGTAGTGGGAACTGAGATGACCACATCTAACTCCAGGAAATCGCCATGTACGTGATGAGACAGCACAATGATCATCTGGGAAAAATATTGCCAAAGCAACTACAGTGAACTGGCACCAGTGTAAAATGTGATGCTTATAGTTTTTGTGAGATGGAGTTTTGCTCTGATTGTCCAGGCTGGGGTGCAATGGCGTGATCTCGGCTCACTGAAACCTCCAACTCCCAGGATCAAACGATTCTCCTGTCTTAGCCTCCTGAGTAGCTGGCATTACAAGTGCATGCCTCCACACCTGGCTAATTTTTGTATTTTTAGTAGAGATGGGGTTTCATCATATTGGTCGGGCTGGTCTTGAACTCCTGATCTCAGGTGATCCACCCGCCTCGACCTCCCAAAGTGCTGGGATTATAGGTGTGAGCCACTGTGCCTGGCCTGATTAGTTTTAATACACTCAAACCTCATAACAGAAACTTTCTGTTGCACCTTTTACCTATGTTATCTAAATAAAAACAAATAACGCTGAATAATCAAATAACACTGGCATCCTTTAATTCTAATAAGTATGTTAGAATTACATAGATATAGTTACCTAATAAAGCTCTTAAAAGCAGCAGACTGAGGGTTGATGCAGAGAGGCACTCTGTTTCCTTTCTGCTGTTCCAAAATGAACTGGTGAATAATTTCTGTGGAGAAAGCAAGCATCATACAATCCATGACAATTTGCAGGCCTGGGAGCAGTGAATTCTCAGCTGACTCTAGCCAGCATCTGTATAACATTTCCTACTGGTTTAGTTAAATCAAAGAACACATCATCTATCAAGCAGAATTCAGCTGACCTTCCTAAAACTGAAATGACAGCTGTTGCTAAATGTAGGCAAAAAACCCACTGGTGGCATTACAGACTGCAGCCCCATCAGTGGGAAGAGTAAAATGGTCTATAAATTGGAGAGATACTCCAAGGTTTGGCATTATAGATGAACTCTTCTAAGTTGCTGCCTTTTGGAAGATCAGTTGGTATCTAGGTATATAGTTTCAGGTGGTTACTTGGGGACTACCCTCTCTCTTGTAAAATGTCCTAGAGTAGACACTAAAATCACTCAGAATTTTGATTGTCATTACCCCCACTGTATCCCAACAGGAGACCCTGTAACAAAATTTTATGAGTACACTATCAGAAATTCCCTTCTCTTGTCATCATCCAAGGAATGATTCCCTCTGTGAATTTTTATACTTAATGGAACTTTGTATGTTATATAAAGAAGATCAATACGTTTCAATCAATGAAATGACATTGAGTGAATACATATTAAATGTATTTTGAGTCATACTCACTAAATCAACTTTGGAAATAAGAACAAACTATTCATGCCTCTCCCCAACCTTCCCCTGTGTGTAATATTAAATATGAATTGTTATGCCCTGGACACATAGCTATATTCAGGGTTGTAAAATAAACATACCAGGGAGCTTTGGTTACCAACCACATCTCAGCTCTTCATGGACACCTGATGGAAAATGTTACTTGGCATCTTGCCTGGCCCAAGGCCAAACCAGATACTCACCTTTAACCTGTCGGACAGAACTGAGGTTCTTCTCAAAAGTGTCATCAAATTTGGGATTAGTGACAGGCTCAAAGTCACTGGTATAAACTCTTCCAGTAGAGGTGGAAAAGCAACATTTACACATACATGTGTGATATCGTAGTCGCCCTTCATCTAGGTAGGGGTGGGCTAAGGCATCCTTAGCGGATATTCTTTTGGACTGAAATCAAATTAGAGACCAGCACATCAACACTACAGATAAATATGACTGTCCACATAGGATCTTTCAAAAGACATACTAACTGCTTTACACAGCTTATATATAATTTATAGTACATCCCATCCAAAGAGGGATAATTGAATTTAGAGGTGGGTAAAATAGCAGCATAGGGAGTGTATGATTCAAGACAACTACTGTTATCATCTACCATCATAAAGTACTTAGAAGTGCCTTTCTGTTGAAATTCTCTGAGAAGTTCCTGCTCTGAAACAGATGTATGCAGGGTCAAAAATCACAAATACCACGACATTTAACTATGTAGTGCTTCGAATGGGGTTACATTTATATTTTAAACAACAGCCTGTGTTTTCTAAATATGTGTCAGCATCCAAAAGATATGTTCATAGTGGCAGTCTTACAAAGCTGCTTGAAATTTTTATTGTCTTAGAATACCAAATAGACTAAGGCAAAAGCTGCTGGAGTTAGGCAGCAGATAGCGGTCTGACTGCCATGTTTTGAGATACAGCTCAGTCTGAGTATCAGGAGTCTAGCTTTTTATTTTCTGGCACTTAAAAAAATTTTTTTTGTAGAGATGGGGTCTCTCTATGTTCTAGAATTTCTGGCCCCCAGCCTTGGCCTCCCAAAGTGCTGGTACCGCAGGTATGAGCTACTGAGCCCCATCATTTTCTGTCACTTTAGATCAGAATACTTAATATATTAAAGTTTACCTGAAAATCTAAACTTTTAAACTTATTACTCCATTAAAAAATTAAAGAAACTGTGCCTTCTTTTAGCTCAGTAGACCAATGTGTACTACTGAGACAAAGTAAATTTTAAAGGATTTAAGGATGAACTCAATAGTACAGAGTAGAACAAAAATGAGAACACTTTGCTCTGATTCCAATATGACCAAGCACTTCACATTACACAATTTAAAGAAGAAAACCACTTTAGTTTTCAAATAAACCAAAAACAACTGAATCATCCTAACTGTTCTGGTCCCCAAATAATAATAAAATGTTTTCCATAAACCTGGATTCCCTACAAACACTTTTATCTCTGATTTTTGCTATGCTGATCTAAAAAGGCATGTCATGACATTTAAAGATAAGATAATCACGGAAGAAAGCGGGTGTTTTATTTACCATGAACCGGCAAATGTGTACTTGATAACCTTGGTTTGTTTTCCTTTCAATGAGTTTATGTTTTGTATTTGGTGACCTAGCTCTTCTGAAGTCTGACTCCCCTGCACTCTTAGCAAGTAAACTTTTTCCTTTTCTTTTTTTCTAAAAAAGTCTGAGTCCTTTGACAGCTATTCCTAGAGGTTCCACTGGGACAGAGTTCCAACTGCTGGAACCCAAAGAAACAAGTAGGCTGACAATGTGCAAGCCTGGTCAAGGGCCCCTCTCAGCCCTTGGCTTCCCTTTCCATTTTTCATTAACTTCTGTTTATGAGTTTCAGGACAGAACTTCAAGTTTATCCTTCTGTTTCTTTAGGTCATATACAGCGATCATTCCAACAACTTACTTCCAAGTGTGAAGTAAGATGCTTCACGTTTATACCACTGTCCAGTTTCTCCAATAGTTTGGCATTCTGTGCTATAGATAAACATAAATCCTTCCTTTTTTTAAAAAAAAAAAATCACTGTTACTTGCTGGGTTATCTGCAGGACTTCTTGACATTTTCAATAATATCTTTACTCCACAGAGCAGAGAACAGGCAAAAAATACAAAATAATGCCCATAGGTCTTGGCACCATGTGAAGCATTGTGGGGAACCTGACATTGGTGCATCTGGCCTGCACATGTGCCACTTTATCACTGTTGTGGACACACTTGCATGGGGGAATCTGGATATGCTTGGGGAAGATAGAATCACAGCTGACAGAGGCTAGGAGGATCTTTTTCCCTTGGGGATACTGAACAAACTATGTGTTGTATACCTGCTTTTTGACTGTGACCTGTCACTAAGGTCAGGTAATTTGCGATGTCATGTTGGCATTCAAAGTTCCAGATTAGGGATGCTCAATGTGTATTTGTATGTATGTGTGTGTGTATGTGTATCTCACCATAGACACCTGCCTCTTAGACTGAATCAAGTAATTGAGTCAGCATTTCCAGTACTGTTTCAGTCCGGGAGCAGACACACCATGGCAGTAGACTGCTTAACCCAAGATCAACAAAACAAGAATAACTAGTTACCTAAGACTAAACGGACTAAATAAATACACTAATTTATTTATGGTCAATGGTCTGTTCTTCATGGGTATTTAAAAGGGGCTCAAGCCTGTAATCTCACCATTTTGGGAGGCCAAGGCTGGTGGAACATTTGAAGTCAGGAGTTCAAGACCAGCTTGGCCAACATGGTGAAATCCTGTCTCTACCAAAAATATAAAAATAAATTAGCTGGGCGTGGTGGTGCACATCTGTAATCCCAGCTACTCAAGAGGCTGAGGGAGGAGAATCTCTTGAACCCAGGAGGTGGAAGTTGCAGTGAGCCGAGATCGTGCCACTGCACTCCAGCCTGGGCTACAGAGTTAGACCCTGACACACACACACACACACACACACACACACTCTCATTTCTTCTTAATGTATTGCTGACTTTTAATTTAACAGGTTAAAATCAGAACAAAACTCTCTTTAAATGGTTTCTTGTTCTGACTGAACTCTCGGAACTGGAAATTTAAAAAAAATCCATTATTAATATAGATCAAAAGCTAACAAAGCATCAGGCCAATTTAAAAATAATAATTCTGTAACAAAGTAATCAACTTGTTAGCTTTGTTTATAACAGTGATAAAAGCAGTTAATTATTATGTAGTGTACATTAACTAAATTAATTTCTTTCTTTTTGAGACAGGGTTTTGCTCTCTCTCTCCCTTGCCAGGGTGGAGTACAATGGTGGGATCATGTCTTACTGTGGCCTTGACCTCCTGGGCTCAAGCCATTCTCCCACCTCAGCTTCCTGAGTAGCTGGAACTATAGACACATGCTACCATGCCCAGCCAATTTAAAAAAAAAAATTAATTTTGTAGATGTGGGGTCTCCCTAAGTTGCCCAGGCTGGTCTTAAGTTCTTGGGCTTAGGAGATTCTCCTGCCTCAGCCTCCTAAAGTGCTGGGATTACAAGCATGAGCCACTGTGCTCTATGCTCAGCCTAATTTCTTTGTTTTTAAATGACTATGCAGTTATTTATATAGGTTCCATAAATATGTACTCCTCCTTACCAGATAAATCTTTCTCTGTAAATAAATCTTTGTAACTACAACCACACCACAAATTTCATTTAATTGTGATAATCCCACTATTAAGGAATAAGGACTACATGTTGCATGTAGAATTTATGTACAAAAGACCTCCCAGAAAAATGTGCTTACTACTTGCTCTATGGCTTTAAGGATATTCCAGCCTTAAAGATTGTAAACACTAACAGATCAGGAGCATTAATAAACATGGGTTCTCTAGGCCAGGTGCAATGGCTTATGCCTGTAATCCCAGCACTTTGGGAGAATGAGGCAGGCAATCACAAGGTCAGAAATTTGACACCAGCCTGAATAACATGATGAAACCCCACCTCTACTAAAAATACAAAAATTAGCTGGACGTAGTGGCGTGCACCTGTAATCCAGGCTAGTCGGGAGGCTGACGCAGGAGAATCACTTGAACCCAGGAGGCAGAGGTTGCAGTGAGCTGAGATCGTGCCACTGCACTCCAGCCTAGGTGACAGAGCAAGACTCTGTCTCAAAAAACAAACAAAAACAAACAAAACATGGGCTATCAGAGAAAGAGGATGGCTTACAGCTCTAAACAGTGTATGCACACCTGGTAGAGGTGAGTTACATGGTTCTTGGATCCACATCTAAATAGAAATAGAGAATAAAATATTTCTAACACATAAATTTCAATCCTAGACTCTTTATAAAATCCTCTATGGCCGAAAGAAATTACCTCTGAAGCCTGAATTTCACACAGCTCTAGTTTTGTTAACCACATAAAAGGAGGTTTTTAAAACGTACTGATCAATATTTTTTGTTAGCTACGTAGATAAACTTGCAAATAACACAAAATATCAAATAATAGTAAATCACTAGCTCATTAAGCAAGTTATATGATTGAAATTGCTCTTAATGGTGGGAACATGACCACAAGGAGACTGTGGAAGCAAGAACTGTCACTTTTGTCAGGCTTACAGTATCACTAAGCACTTCACATACCACATGGTATGGTTTGGCTATGTCCCCACCCAAATCTCATCTTGAATTCTCATGTGTTATGGGAAGGACCTGGTGGGAGGTAACTGAATCATGGCAGCAAGTCTTTCCTGTGCTGTTCTTGTGATAGTAAGTCTCATGAGATCTGATGGTTTTAAAAAGGAGAGTTTCCCTGCACAAGCTCTCTTTTCCTGCTGCCATCCATGTAAGAGGTGACTTGCTCCTCCTCGCCTTTCGCCATGATTGTGAGGCTTCCCCTGCCATGTGAAACTGTAAGTCCAATTAAACCTCTTTCTTTTGTAAATTGCCCAGTCTTGGGTATGTCTTTATCAGGAGTGTAAAAATGGACTAATACACCACAGTAAAACAAAACAAAACAAACAGCAAAAAACACCAAAATAAACACATAAGCAATCTACACTGTATGCTGAGACAACACAAAAATAACTTGAGTCACTCAAATTGGTTCTGGTCCCACAAACCTTGACTGTTTCTCACAAACCTGGACTCTTAACAATGTTTTTTATCCCTAATCTTTGCTATGCTGATGTCTGTAGGTTTGTGCATTTGATAATCTTCTAAGAAAGTTGCAGCTTTCTCACTACAAATGGCCCAATGTAAACTTAATAACTTTGGTAATCTTGTATTTTTTTAATCTTTTAAATATCTGGCATTTTTTGTATTTGGTGACCTTGTATTCTTGGCATAAAATTTTCCTTCCTAAATGCTTCCATTTTTGAGTCTTCTTTGACAATAGTTATTGGCTAGATGTGAATAATATTCTCTGGATGAATGAATAAATGAAGAGCTGAACTTACACTGTAATTTATAGTACGTTCCAGAAGAGTCAAGTCCAGAAAGGGTACTGGGAAAAGCTTCCATCTTAACAACCCAGAACAAACATTTCCTTATGTAATATAATGGTCAGATTTTTTCAAATAATCTTAAAATATTTTGTGTTCTGACTGGGCATGGTGGCTCACACCTGTAATCCCAGCACTTTGGGGTCTGAGGCAAGAGGATCACTTGAGCCCAGGAGTTCAAACCAGCCTGAGCAATATAATGAGACCTCTTCTCTATAAAATATTTAAAATTAGCTGAGCATGCTTGTAGTCCCAGCTACTCAGGGTGCTGAGGTAGGAGGAATGCTTGGGCCTGGGAGGTTGAGGGTGCAGTGAGCTGAGATCACACCTCTGCACTCTAGATGGGGTGACAGAACAATACCTTGTCTCAAAACAAACAAAAAGTTATTTTGTCCTGATTTAACTTGGTGCCAAACTCCTTTTACAAATATTGAGATTAATAAGAAATAAATGAGATCCAGTTCCTTATCTCGTCCCCTAGATTCTTATGTGTTAATAAACTTCTGTGTGATGAGTGCACGTGATACATATGATACTGGTGATTGAAGTTTATGTTTTGAAAAGTAATCATTTACATTGCCAATCTATTCAAAACCACATTGTTTCTCTCAGAACACATTTATTTGTAATTCATTAAAAATGCATAAAAACAAACACTACTTACTGGATCAAAGACCAACATCCTGCAAAGGAGATGAACAGCTTCATGTGTAGCCTGGCTAGACAGGGTATAGAGTACAGGAAGAGATGGCTGTGAAAAAATTAAAAATTCAAATATTTAAGTGAGTCTTTGTGTAAACAGCTATGGAATACAGCCAGCTTATGACAAGGTAAGTACTCAGCTGGAAAGGCAATGTGTGTCTAAACTCAAGGAGAATGAGTTTTCCCTTCATTAACCAGTCTTCAAAAGCAACAATTGTTACTAAGTTCCCATAGCTTGCTTGCTTGCTTTATTAATTTATATATGATGGAGTCTCACTCTGTCACCCAGGCTGCAGTGCAGTGGTGCCATCTTGGCTTACTGCAACCTCCACCTCCAGGGTTCAAGTGATTCTTCGGCAGTCAGCCTCCCAAGTAGCTGGGATTATAGGCGTGTGCCACCACACATGGGTAATTTTTGTATTTTTAGTAGAAATGGGGTTTCGCCATGTTGACCATGCTGGCCTCGAACCCCTGACTTCAAGTGATCTGCTTGCCTTGGCCTCCCAAAGTGTTGGGATTACAGGCGTGAGCCACTGCATCTGGCCCCATAGCATTTTTATATTGCATAATTATCCACTATAGGGTAAAGCATAAAAGAGCCTATGAAAAATGAAAATGAGTTGTAAATATGGCACTCCTGCTAGGCATCTTTTTTTTTTAATAGGAGAAAAGGCATGCACATTTATTTATTGTGTGTACATGGGAGGTTTCAAAATAAAGCCCCAAACCCCTAATGAGGTACAGAAGCTTGAGGTTATAGAAACAATGTGGGCTCAGAGCATGGCCAAAACCAGGATTTGGTTAGCCTTATATCTTAAATGCTTTGGCAAGAATGATAATCAAACATGCCTAGGGATGGGAGAGAAAAGATTTAAAGGCAAAGCATGTAAATTATAAGCATGTGAACTGTCTTATGACAACATAATGAAAGTGCTGAGATACTAATTCTAAAGGAGCTATAGGACACTCAAGAACTTACAGAACTTTAAAGTACACCACTGGTTTTGTTCAATCTGAATTGTCTTTATTATCGATTCACTCAATAATTGTCTTCATAAGTGGTAGGCTTATTCACATGGCCATATCTGACCTCCATGAGGCAGAGAGATGGCTTCAATGACCTGAAAAGCCATAGAGCTTATGAAGCTTCTATTTCACTGCTAGGAGCCTCAGGAGACAGAGCAGGTAAAAAGCATCTGCTCTGTCTCTCACACAAGTAAATTCTTTATCTTCAACATTAAAAAAGGAAGAATTAGGGAATGTGACAAAAAGTGTTTAGACACTCCCTTTCTTCCAATGCTTAAAATAACTGTTGGCAGAGAAATTTTTCCTCAAGCTTTGAAAGTTATAGACGTATGGCCAAATTATTATTGGTTTGACTTTCATACAATAAAAAACAAAACAAAACAAAACTAATCTTGTAGTGGAGTAAATGATTTTCCTAATGGGTTTTAGACCTGGCATCTACTTATAAACTTTCTGTGGTCAGAAAGTCTAGAAGGTCAAAGCCTATGAAAATTAACTCAAATAACAATAAAGTTAAAAGCTGAGGCTGGGTGCGGTGGCTTCTGTTTGCAATCCCAGCACTTTGTGGGGCCAAGGCAGAAGGACTGCATGAGCCCATGGGTTTGAGATGAGCCTGGGAAACATCATGAGATGCCATCGCTACAAAAAATTTAAAAATTAGCCAGGCATGGTGGCACATGGCTGTAGTTCCAGCTACTTGGGAGGCTGAGGTGAGAGGATTGCTTGAGCCTGGGAGGTAGAGGCTGCAGTGAGCCGTGCTTATGCCACTGCACTCTAGCCTGGGTGACAGAGTGAGGTTCTAAAAACAAAAAAAAAAGTCAAAGCCTTTTTTAGTTAGGTCTAAAGACAACCTAACTGTAGGGGTAATGACCCCTGACCTTTACTATGCTTTGGAAAAGTGAAGAGTCTTAAGTGCTATAAACTACATTTTATCTGGGTCTGATCTCTTCCCATTAGCTCTAAGTGCTACTGCTTTTTTTTTTTTTTTTTTTTAAAGAAATGGAGTCTTGCTATGTTGCCCAGGCAGGGCTCAAGTAATCCTCCCATCTCAGCCTCCCAAGTCGCCAAGTAGCTGGGACCACAGGCACACGCCACTGTGCCCACCTTAGCCTCCCAAGTAGCTGGGACCACAGGCACATGCCACTGTGCCCAGCTTCTCTAAATCCTTTTTTTTAAAATAGGAGATGGAGTTTTGCTCTGTCACCCAGGCTGGAGTGCATTGGTGCAATCTCAGCTCACTGCAACCTCTGCCTCCCTGGGTCAAGCGATTCTCCTGCCTCAGACTCCCGAGTAGCTAGAACTACAGGTATGCACCACCACACCCAGCTCCTTTTTGTATTTTTAGTAGAGCCAGGGTTTCAACATGTTGGCCAGGCTGGTCCCCAACTCCTGACCTTGGCCTCCCAAAGTGCTGGGATTACAGGTGTGAGCTACCGCACCCAGCCAGTCCTTCTTATATCCTGTTTCTTCGGGGTTTCCCTATAAAACTTTGAACTTTTAGGAAATAATCAGACTAGAGCAGCCTTTGGTAGTTCTGGGGCTTCTTCTTTTATGTAATGCCCAGACTGCTTCATTATGATTATATTTGTGGGAAAAACTAAAAAGAGAGTTTTAAAAACATATGTGTTTCTCTCATTTGAAAAACAATTTAAAAAGCCATCTGTGAACCGTGTGGTATCTTTATCTGGTCCTGATCTCCAGACATTGCCTCATCATACCACTTTAATGTTAGGGCATTTACATTTTGTTACTACAGTATTAATGGTCTATCAACAAGAGAGCAGAACTTCAGCTGGTAGTAGGTGAGGCAGGGGCAGGAAAGGCAGTCTGGTTTATGTTGGGGATAATTTGACCATCTGAACAACACTATATTACTTTAAAGGCAAACTGGAGGCAGGTTTTACTTGCAAACTCTTATATAAATTTCCTGTGGGTAGTCTGCCTTGTATTTTCTGGTTTGTCAGTAGATGAAAATTCAAAATATCACAGAAAGTTCCTGCTATTTGAGCACTGGAAGGCCAGAAACAGCAGCATGAACAGCAATATAAGCAGGTCTCATGTGGTTCAAACTCTCCACAACACCAGAAACAGGTGAAGCAGAATGTTAGGTTTCCTTGGACTTTGGTCATAGCCTCAGAATCCTACTATGATAATTATTAACATCAAGAATTTTACATATCTTCCTCCTTCCAACAAAAGCCACATAGGAAAATCCAACAAAAACAACACAAAGAAGATACCACAGAGTCATCAGGAAGTTATTATTCATTATGCATAAGTTTTCTTCAGGATCAAAGAGTAATAGAGATAAGATTAGATGGAGGTTCTAGCTCTGTCTTGTCACTAATTAGATAAATCAACATGTCTTAACCTCAGTAACTGTAAGTATAAAATGAGGCAGCTGGACTATGTGATTTCTGGAGTTTAGTTCTAAAGTTGTATGTCTTTTTTGTTCATTTGTTTTGAGACAGGATCTCGCTCCTTCACCCAGGCTAGAGTACAGTGCTGCTCAGCTTACTGCAGGCTCCACCTCCGGGGCTCAAATGATCTTGCTACCTCGGCCTCCTAAGCAGCTGGGACTACAGGTGCACACCACCATACCCGCTGATTTTTGTATTTTTATAGAGACACAGTTTCATCACGTTGCCCAGGCTGATCTCAAAGTCCTGAGCTCAAGCCACTGGGCTGCCTTGGCCTCCCAAAGTGCTGGGATTTGTACAGGTGTGAGCCACTGCACCCAGCCTTGTATGAGTCTTGATAAGATTACTTCGGATAAAAAAATTAAATATATACACAGAACCCACACAGTATATCTGGCATTCAAGTGTCTGTAGACCCACTCATTATTCCTTGGTACATGTACATGTTTGCAGAGAGAGAGAAGTATTTCTTTTCTTTCTTTCTTTTTTTTTTTTTTTAAAGAGGCAGTCTTGCTCTGTTGCCCAGGCTGGAGTGTAGTGGCATGATCATAACTCACTGTAGCCTTGAACTCCCAGCCTCAAGCGATCCTCCTACTTGTGCCTTCTGAATACCTGGGACTACAGGCATGTGCTACCATGCCTGGCTTTTTTTTTTTTTTTTTTTTTTTTTTCCCCCCTAAGAGCCTCGTTCTGTCACCCAGGCTGGAGTGTGGTGACACAATCTTAGCTCACTGCAACCTCTGCCTCCCAGGTTCAAGTGATTCTCCTGACTCAGCCTCCCCAGGAGCTGGGATTACAGTGGCTTGCCACCACACTCAGCTAATTTTTTTGTATTTTTAGTAGAGATGGGGTTTCACCATGTTGCCCAGACTGGTTTCCAACTTCTGAGCTCAGGTAATCCACCTGCCTTGGCCTCCCAAAATGTTGGGATTACAGGCGTGAGCCACTGCGTCCAGCCCTGGCTTTAAAAAAAAAAAGGTTTTTTTGTAGAGACAGGGTCTTCCTATGTTGCCCAAGCTGATCTCAAACCCTGGGGCTCAAGTGATCCTCCCATCTTGGCCTCCCAAAGTGATAGGATTACAGGTGTAAGCCACCGTGCTCAGCCTAAGTATTTCTTGTTTAAAAATGTGTGATTCTATAATAGCTCTGAAATTATCTGTATTAGTCAAAATAAGGAGAAGTGGAGAATGATGGGGGAGAGGCTTTAACTTATAACTTAATTTACATGTGTTTTACACAAGAATTTTTTTATTGTGTAAAGTGAAGTCATTTGATATTCTTGAAAAATTTTTACTTTGACTATGAATAGCTATCTTCTTTTTTATTGCCTGTGCAGGTTGGCAGCCAAATTCCAGACAATTCGTACAACTGAATTGTCTTACCATAAGCAGTTCTTTCCCTTCCACTCTCGAAGTGAAACTACTCATCCTATTTTTGTGGTGAAGATATGTCATAGCTTAGCAAAGGGAATACTGGAAGAAGTACTAGAAGACATGAGTTTGAATCCTATCCTTGCCATTACTAATAGACTTAGGTAAGTCACTGAAGCTTTAGCTTTCTCATCTATTAAACTTCACCAGTAGACACATCTCTACCTCCCAGC